ACAATAGCAAAAACATGGAACCAACCATGCTGCCCATTGAAACTGAACTAGATTCTTAAAATGTGGTACATATACATGATGGACTATTACTCAGCCATAAAGAAAGACAAACATATGGACTTCACATCAACTTGGATGGATTTAGAGTCTATCATACTCAGTGATCTATCACAGAAACAAAGAACTGGGTACCACATGTTCTCACTTATAAGTGGACCCTGAACATTTACCATAATACTATGAGAAAAGAATTGGCAGTAGCAAAATACTGCTGGGGTGGGGATGGCAGGGGGCATATAACATCAAAAAGGGTACCTGATCTCAAACCAGGCAAACTGGGGACCAATGGGAAGCCCAAACTTTACCTGTACGATGTCCATCTGTATACCTAATCCTGAATTGTACCCCACATCTTTAAAATAAAATAGAAAAATAAGAAGAAGAAAAAAGAAATCCACCTTCTATGTTCTAAATGTGCAGGGAATCTGGTTGATTTGGGATTTAAGAAGGAATAGTTTATTTCAGTCATCACCTAAGATGTGTCCTTGGTGTCTTGAGCTACCCAAAAGGTAATAGCGAAGTGACACATTGTCCCATCATTTTAGCATATTATTAGGCCAGCCCTTCTAAAAGTCAGTAACTATCTTTTTTTTTTTTTTAATGGTACTTGCTTGCTTTGTTAGCTGAATTTGAGTGGCTTATTGGGTTCTGGCTGTCCAAAATGAAAACTTCCCTCCAGTCTTTGCAAGTATGAAAGAGGATGCAAGAGGTAACATAACATCTACTCCACAGCTAGCTGTCTATTTTCAAGCGCCTAAGATGTTGTTACAAATCAATAAAGAGACCTTTGTAAGAAACCTCCAAAAAATATATATTTTGGCCATTCTAATATGTATATAGCAGTATCTCATTTTAATTTGTAATTCTCTAATGATGTTGAACATCTTTTCATATGTTTATTTGCCACTTAGACATCTTCCTTGATGAGGTACCTGTTCAGATCTTGTCCCCATTTTTTAAACTTGGTTATTTGTTTTCTTACTGAGTTTTAAGAATTCTTTGCATATTTTGGCTACAAGTCCTTTATCAGGTATGTGCTTAGCAAATATTTTCTCCCAGTTTGTGGTTTATCTTTTCATTTCTTATTGTCCTAGCACTTTGCTCATCTATAGTTTCTCGTTTAATCCTCTCTTGCTTACATTCTGAGAGCTATATAGTATTGGCTACATTTTGCTACGGAAACCTAAACGAAGAAAGATCAATTAACTTGCTACGTGATGGAGCTAAGATTTGAACCCAAGTCTGATCTACAGTTCCACACCTCACATCATATCTTAAAATTGTATCTTACTAGCCATGCATTAGTCATGTGGGGATGAATTTTGGTTGTATCATAACAAAATACCCTTCCATGGTACCAGAAAAGAAACACTATATTTGAATGCCCTGCATAGCCCAGCATAGCTACTTGTCTCTATGCCTTCACAGGCACAGAGCACTCTCTGTAATCTAACCCCCACAGCTTCCTCTGTCTCCCCTTCTATTGTTAGTCCCCTCACACTTTGTGTTCCTAGGAGAGGAGACTCTTGCAGCTCCACCAGTGTGCTTGCTTTTTCAAGATCTCTGTCTTCATTCTTGCTGTTCCCTCTGATGGAAAGACTCTTCCTCATTGTCCTCTGGTCAAGTCTTACTCATTGTTAATTCCTCACTCACAGTCACTGCACAAAGCACTCTACCCACTGCCTTCTGGACTTGGAAGTTCCACTTCTGCATGTAGTCTGTCTCCTCCACTAAATTGGCAAACTCCTTAAGCATAGGCATCATGTTTGATAACACTTTCTTAATTCCTTCAACTAGCCTGGCACATAGTAGGAGTGCAGTAAGTGTTTCCTTAATAAATGAACGAAGAGGAGATGTTGGCAAGTACCATCATCTGGTGGTTAGAAGCCTCTTTCATCTTTAAGAAAATTTAACTAGAAGAAATAAGTTTATTTTGGTTTTGATTATTTTTGCTTTGAGCTTTTGAAATTTCATTTTGTACTTTTAAAAATTCCCTTTCAATGTTTTAAATTAGAACCTCTGTTTTCTGTGCTATGGACCCCAGGGGGAAGGCATAACTCAATAAATAATGGAGATTTTTAAATCAATAAGTCATTAGTGAGACCACTGAGTGAAAACATAATGTGCATTTTCACTTTTTTAAGGCTTACAGTTTCTGGAACTGCTGGTAACAAGGCTTGATGCCCCGGGGCTCGGTGTCAGGTGCCAGTCTGTGTCTGAATCCCAGCCTGCTGGATGGGCTGTGCTCCAGGAAGCCCCTCTCTCGGGATGGGGGAGTCTCCTGTCTTAGGAACACAGGATATGAGGAGACTACTGCAGGGGCTGGGGACCAGCAGTTTACACAGACTCTAGCAGTAGCACCTGCACCAGAGAGAGGCTTGAGACCTTGGGCAATGCACTGTATGGATGGAGCAGGAGTTCAGGATCAGCATGATAGAGAAATTATATCCCTGCCACGTACAGTCTGTGTAACTTGGTAAACTTGTTGAACTCCTCTGAGCCCCGATTTCTTCATCTGTGAAATGGGAAGGCTCATAATACTACATCCTTCTAGTACCATTATAATAACCTATAGAGCTATTGTGAGGCATAAATGTTTGAGTGAGATAAAGTATGTAAAGTCTCTAACACCTACCATAAACTCAATAAAGGTTAACTTCAAAATCCTCCTCTACCTCACGCCCCACTCTGCTACCACCACTGTGGGTTACTTAGACCTCCCCCTTACTTCCTCTAGCTGCTTCCACTGAAACCCTCCCCTAGATGAGTAAGAAAATGGCATTTAATATAACTCACAGTCTGGCACAGTGCCTGCCACATGGCAGATATTCAGTGACTAATTCTTGAATTAATTAGTTTATAGCTATGTGGTGGCATCCTGTGCCAGCCCTGGGCCTTTTTGCCCTCAGTTGCACCCATTCCTCACCTTCTATGCAACTGTGTATTGCAGGAAACTGACCCCTATAGGTTACATTTCTCAAGTTATTTTGCCAGCTGTTTTCTGGCTGGGTTTGGGTGATGGCATGCACTGGTGGAAGACTGGATAGAGAGAAGGAGAAAGAGAAAAGCCAGGATATTTTCCTGTTCTATCCCAGCTAGAGTTGTCTTAGCAGCAAGGGAAGCTCCTCCTGGTCTCCATCTCCCACCTGAGAGGCCTACCGTGGCTTCAGTTTCCAGCAGATGGCCCTAGCTTCTGAGCTCTGGTAACTCCACCACCTCCCTGTGTCCTTTCAGTCATAGGGCAGGTAGTGTCTCCTTGTTGCATATTTCAGAGTTACTTTACTCTCTTCTGTCTGTCTTCTCAATTCTTTTGTCACCCAGGCAACCACTTCTCTGTCATTAATTTCTTCTGCTTGGTATTCTTGTAGTGGTTTCTAATATACTACTTAGACGCCCTTTGCAGGAGTGTATGAACTCAGAGTTAACAGAACTCCAATCTTCCAGGCTCCACTATTCACTGGCCATGTGGCCAGACTATCTTTGTAAGCCTCAGTTTCCTCATTTGTAACAACGCCTAACAGAATCCATCCTGCTGCTCTCACAGGGTCATTGTGAGAACCCAATGGGATCATCCATTTACACATTTGCCAGGTACTTATTGAGTACCTGCCATATGCCAGGCCTTTTAGAGCTGCAGGGGATGGCAAAGAGAATATGACAGATAATGTCCTGTTCTTAAGGGGGTTTCAGCTAGTTGCAGTATATGTGCTTTGTAAACTGAAGAATGCTGTATAAGTCTAGCAGGATAAGCTGACCTGACTCCTTGATCCTGGGGAAAGCTTTGGACATGTCCAGAGTGCTCCAGCCCACTTGCCGGGAAACTCATCCTCATCCTAGAGTAAGGTGGATCGGCCAGTGGATGCAGTGACTACAACATGATATGTGCACAGTGACCTGGATAGCAAACTAAAACCCCTCCTCCCACTCAGACCTGTGTGTCTATTAGCATATCAGAGTTGTACTAGTTTTCTTTTCATGGTTTTTATCTGGTGTTATTTGAAATACGTGTGCTATCAACTAAAGCCTGCAAATCTTTTTATGTCTGGATTGCATTTGAAAAGGTATCCTCTGTAACATAATTTTTAGTTATTGATGACCTCTTTTATAATGATTTAGCCAGCCTTACTTTAATGATAGTATTGATAACAGTATATAGCTGACAATCTATTTGCAACAACACTCTCAGGTGCAAAAGAAAAGCAATTTGTGCACCTGTGGAAAATAGGTAAACTTGCCTTTTTTTTTTTTTTTTTTTGAGTTGGAGTCTCACTCTGTCGCTCAGACTGGAGTGCAGTGGCCACTCCCAGCCACCGCAGCCTCAACCTGCTAGGCTCTGGCGATCCTTCTGCCTCAGCCTTCCAAGTAGCTGGAACTACAGGCGCGCGCTACCATGCCCGGCTAATTTTTTGATTTATTGTAGAGATGAGGTCTCACCAAGTTACCCAGGCATGTCTCAAACCTGTGGGCTCAGGCAATCCACTCACCTCAGCCTCCCAAAGTGCGGGATTACAGACTGAGCCACCGAGCCCAGCTAAATTTGCCATTTTTAAGCAAGCATGAAAATGGAGTATATTAATTCAGATTCAACACTGTCATGTCCTGAGTACTTTTATATGATCTCTCTTACATTGTCCTACGAAGCACGTATTTCCATCCCCATTTTAGTAATGAAATCACTAAGACTTGAAGCAGGTGACTTAGTTAGGTAATAACAAAATAAGAAGGGAAGATAGAAAAAAGAGAGGAAGAACTTACCTCCTGAGCCTCTGCTTCCTCAACTGTAAATGGAAATAATAAGGGTGGCGCTGAGGGTTAAATAAGAGAGTAGCCTGTGTATGATATGCAGTCACTAATACATTGTAGGTCTAAAGGAGGACATTGCTGCCTCCTTACCCTAAGGCCTTTATCAACCATCTCCTTAACTTCTGCTCTCTCTGCAGATGACCATTCCCGGGTGAGGCTGCTGGTGCTGGATGGAGACCCACACTCTGACTACATCAATGCCAACTACATTGACGTGAGTGTCATAATGGGACTGGGCAACCAGGGTCTGGGTCTCACAGAAGGTGGCCTTTCCAGAACACATCCAGAATATTCTGGATCCTCTATGATTTGTGAAACTACTGTAGCCCAAGTTGATCCTCTTTCAGGCTGGTAGGAGTAGTCTGCTCTGTGAGGTCCCAGGACAACTGTCAGTCTTATGCATTCACCCCATTTATTCATTTGTACATATGTCTATTGATCCATTCATTCACTTGAAGGCACAGTCATTTATGCAACAAAAACTTAAAAGTACCTACTTCATGCTAGATACTTTGGGAATCACAAAGCTAAAAATACCATGGTCTATATCTCTAAAACCTTAACAGGGAGATAAGTTGGGCACATCAGTAATTCCAGGGCAAAACAGAAAGTGGTAAGTGTCATAAGTTCAGATAAAATGTTGCAGGGATTCAGAGGTGGGAAAAAAATTTCATTTCTAGCCATGCTCGGTGGCTCAGTCTGTAATCCCGCACTTTGGGAGGCTGAGGTGAGTGGATTGCCTGACCCCGCGGATTTGAGACCCACCTGGGCAAGCGAGACCTCATCTCTACAATAAATCAAAAATTAACCGGGCGTGGTAGCACGCGCCTACAGTTCCAGGTACTTGGAAGGCTGAGGCAGAAGGATTGCCGGAGCCCAGCAGGTTAAGGCTGCAGTGGCCAGGAGCAGCCACTGCACTCCAGTCTGGGTGACAGAGTGATACTCCAACTCAGATATATATATATATATCACTTCTTCCATCAGGAATGCAAAATGTGATGTGAACAAAAGCTTCACACACAGGTAGAATTTAAAATCAAAGAGAGGGAAGATGGGCCACTGGTTAGAGATTATAGCACAAACCAAGACGTAGCAACTGGAAAGGAAATATGTTGTAGCTCCATTTGAAGGAAGGAGAGACTCTGTAAGAGGAAGAGTGGGAGACAAAGTTGGGCTAGATCACAGATGGTTTAGATCAGGGGTCCCCAACCCTCAAGCCACAGACTAGTACTGGTTCATTGTCTATTAGTAACTGGGTCACACAGCAGGAGATGAATGGTGGGCAAGCAAATGAAGCTTCATCCATATTTACAGTTGCTCTCCATTGCTCACATTACTGCCTGAGCTCCACCTTCTGTCAGATCATCAGCAGTATTAGGTTCTCTTAGGAGTGTAAAGCCTATTGTGAACTGCACACGCAAGAGATCTAGAAATAAAGTATACAATAGATGTAATGAGCTTGAATTAACCCCAAACCATCTCATGCCTCCTTTCTCCCAGTCTGTGGAAAAATTGTCTTCCACAAAACTGGTCCCTGATGCCAAAAAGGTTGGAGACTGCTGGTGCAGATGGTCAGATGTAGGAAAAGGGACTTTATCTCATAGGTAAGAGGAAGTTAGTAAAAGTGTTGAGTCAGAGCTGAGCCTTGGGATGATTTATCGCTACTAAGGGTATATACGATAGATCAATGGGAGAAGATGCTGGAATTAAGACAACCAATTAAGAAAGAAGCTGTTTCACTATTTCAAAGACTACTGAGGGAGGGATTAAACTCAAACAGGAGCCAAGAAGGGTATGCATGGAAGTGAGAGAGTTTGCAAAGCTAGGGCATGGCTGCTGGGGCTAGATGGACTCCCAATCTGACTGATTCATACCACACTTCTCAGAACCTCAGCAAGGAGCCTAAGGGCCTTGAAGAATGGCTCAGAGATTCTTGTTGGTCCCCCAGACTCCCAAGTGTATTTATAGGCAAGCTATAAAGTGTAAAGACATGCTTTGTGAATTCCCTCATAATCTAGGCTGAGTCAGATGAGTTATTAATTCAACAAATATTTATTGAGCCTTTTATTGGTCATTTGCTTGTTTGTCCTCATATCTATTGTTTGTCCTTCCTCACTCTGCTTTGCATTGCAGATGTGATTGTGTGTGTGTGTGTGTGTGTGTGTGTGTGTGTGTGTGTGTGTGTGTGTGTCTGTGAGCATGCACACAGGGAAAAAGAAAGATGCTTCTTCACTGGGAGGCACTGATGAGGGAACAGAGGATAATGGGAAGGCAGAAGCCAGTATACTCTCCTTCTTGCTCCCTTCCTTGGGTGGCAGCTCTAGCTGTGGCTGTGTCTGATCTGAGGCTCCAACTTCCCTTTTGCAGGCCTACCATTGCTCCAGCTCCTGCCAGGCAGCCCTGGTTCCTGAGCTCTGATCATTTCTCTGTCTCCCATTATCCCACTGGTTCTGAGGATAGTCACAGCCACCTGCAGTCCCTGATCTCTGGATTGCCCCCACTGATTGCTGTTTGTCATCTCATCTCCTTCATCACCTGTGTAATCAACTCCCCATACTAAATTCCCTCTGTCTGAAACTCCTGCATGGTTTTTATTTCCCTTCCTGAACGCTGACTAACAAAGGGCCTACTATGTGGCCAAGAACTGGGACTGGAGCTTTAGTGGAGGTAAAGACAGACAGTCTCTGCCACCGTGGTCCTTCCAGGAGAGTTTATAGGAGATACCAGTTGTAAATAACTTGTCTCTAGCCCAAGACGTGGCACTCGGAATATTCACCCATCATGCTGGCAGTCTTTTTCTCATGCAAGTATTCATTTCACAAAAACAGAGCAGACCCTCACTGTGCACTGAAAATACTGGCCCTTAAGATTAGGCCTCTGACCTAAAGGGAGCTAAGTCTGGTGAGGGAGTAAGATAAGAAAGGTGATCCTCACAAAGCAGAGGTTATGGGACCATGAAGGAAATCAAAGCCTCAATGTGGGGGAAGAGAGGTAGCCAGTGAAGGCTTCCTGAAAGAGGTGACATCTCAGTCCTGCCTTGGAGGTTGACTTAGAGCCAGCCAGACAAGGAGGGTTTATGGTTACCTAAGATTTAATGTTCAACTTTTGGGTACCAACATCAACTTAGCTAGTACTACAGCCTCACAAAGTGACAGACGTTACTACTCATTTTCTGATGAGCAAGCTGAGTCTCTTAAGGTTATGTGGCTTGTCCAGGATTATACTGCTGGGAGATGGGTGAAGAGGGAACAAGAGTTTGAATCAGCAGTGCCTTTCCCACTATACCCTGCTGCTTTTAATTATGACAGTAAGTCATAATCTCTTAATGAGTCACTCTTGTGCCCTGTGATGGGTGGCTTAAGTGGCTTAGTTTATCAAGCCTTCTTCTTAATAACCCTACAAGGTGGGTGTTATCACTCTCATTCCCCAAATGGAGAGGCTGAGATTTAAAAAGATTGCAAAGCATGCCCCAGGCCATATAGCATGTCAGTGCCAGAACCAAGATGAGAACCACTTGAATGACTCCCAGTCCCTGTTTTTCCTGCTCCTCCCCACTCACTCCCAGATAACACCTTGTAGCCAACACATAGTGAGGACTCAGTCAGCACATGTTGATGCAGGTTGAATTGATGCCTTCCATTTCTCTTCAATCTTGTCTTTGGGTGGATGTGACCCCAAGGACCACAGCTCATACTGGGTCTTGTATGCAAGTTGCTGTATCTAGTATTCATCATCTGACTAGCAGCCCTAGTCAAAGTCACTTTCCTAGATAGGTACTCAATTCAAAGTTGAATGAACATCTAACTGTAGTCAGAGCCAAGACACAAGTTGGTATTTTGTAAGGCAACAAATGAAATTGCCTTAAATGCAAGTGAATCTCTATAATGCTAATAATACCTCCCATTTCTTTCATGTTCCATAATTACATGGCATTTTGCAAGCATTTAAATATAGGAAGCCAGGGATCTAGATTAAGAGCATTGTTCAGGGTCACACAACTAAACCCCAATTCTCTGCCCACCTGGGACATACTACAACCTCTCCCCTTTCTCTGTAAGTAGATTATGCAGACAGGCCAAACAGCCCCTGTTACATGTTGTCTTATAATAGGATGTCAGACTCTGGGCTGAACCTCAGTGGTTAGACTCAAGGGCTAATGAGACTGAAGTCATGAATTTGGTCCTTCTTGGGTCTGTTGAATTCAGGCCTTTCTGGTTGCTAGCTCTTTGATCTTGGGTAAATTACTAATTTATCCTGATATCTGTAAAATTAGAAATAATGCCATCCCATAAATATGTGATAACTGACACGAAGTATCTGTCATGGTCCTAAAAAGAAATAGAAGCTCTTTAGAGGGAGTAACCAAGGACAGCACAATAATTATACAAACAGGATTAAGAGAAACCATCAAGGTAGGGTGGAGTATCTCTGGGCTAGAAACAGTAGGGGGCTCTTACCAGCATTAGACCCAGACAAGGGGAAAGAGTTGCTGCCAGAGGGGACTGTCCTTCAGGAACTGAAGCCCTGGATAGAGAGACAAGGCCAAGCCTGGGTGACCTGGCAGGAAGAAACCCAGAGGAACATATACCCCAACCTTTTCCTGGTCTGTGAGCTCCTGCTTTTGCTCCCCATTGACCAAGCCCAACTAGAAGCAGGAGGACATGGGAGCCCACACGGTGGTCCATATAGGTTGGCCTTCCATGACACAAAGCAGAATATAGAAGGGAAGAGTGGGGAAATGGAGGGACAAAGAGAAGATACCAACCGCAAACACCTCCTTACACTGTTACCACTATACGGTAAAGAATGGAGGCATTCCATTAATTGTGTACCTACTATATGCTCCAGAAAAATAAAAATTCCTTGGGTCTTTATAGGGATTCCTGGCAAGATGACACTTTAGACAGCTAACTAAAGTCCTCACTCCTTTGTCCCGGTCTCCACCCCAGCCAGAATCCTCTCTGGCTCTTCAAAGAGCTAATTGCCCACGCTAGAATCATTTCTCCACAATTGGATCTTGACGATTCATTAAAATATCTCCATTCAGATAATGAGCCGGATGAGGCCAGCCTTGTCTCTGCCTCCAGAGGCCCGTGGTCTGCTACCGTCTGAACCATCCTGCTGGCGGGTTTGTTTGTACACCCGAATATGTATTGGCCACTTAAATCTGTTATAAATTACCAGCCTGGAAATAAATATCGTATCTGGGTCCCCAGTAAGTAACAGATGCATGAGTGCAGAGTGAGATAAATGCATTTTGGATGCAAACCTCTTTCCCATTGCTCACAGACAGATGAAGGCAGGCCCAGTGCTGGTTTGCAGTCGATCTGCGTGCTGTGTAGGTGGGACTTAAATGAACTCAAAGTTCTTTTAAGGTTAGGAAGTTTTCTGCACCAGCTCTTGGTGAATCCCCAGAGAAGCCCCAATTGAGCAGTACATTTCCTTTTATCTCCTTTGCTGTGGAGTCTTGTGGTTAGAATGTTTTCTCTTTGGGGACTGTGTGGCTTTTTGGAAGCCAGGGAGGGCCTCTTTACTCAGATGCAGCTCGGTGACAGGCATGCAGTAGACATGCATTCATTCATACGTAGTTATCAAGGCTGATGGCTGAATACAGCCATACCACAGTGGAGATGGACAATAAGTGTGTAAATCAATACAGAATGGAATGCTAATTGGTGATAAGTGCTCTAAAGAAAGGTAAACCAGAGTCAGTGGAAAGAAGCTGACCGGGTGGTGAGAGAAGAGCTCTCTGTAGTAGTGATTGGCAACTGAGCAGAAGCCTAGATGGAGTGAGAGAGCAAGCCACTCAAGTTTCCGGGAACAGATGCAGCTTAGGGAATGGCTAGTGCTAAGGCCTTGGATGGACACAGGAGCACTGTTTCTAAGGAAGAGCAGTAAGGTAGTGGGCAATGAGAGAAGGGTAGGAAAATGGAATCATGATGAGGTAATGAAATGGGAATGATGAGGGTGTTGAGATGCCCCAACTTGGCTTTAATTAAGAATTCAACTGAACCTCCACTTCCTCAGCAAACACTTCTCTGGCTTCCTTGGTTAAGACAAATTCTCATGGATGCTCCATAGAGCCCCACATTTACCCTTGGCAGCCCTTACACCAGTCTGTTCATGTCTGTAAGCTGTGCAGAAGCAGAGATCACATCCATCTGATCCCATTTTTATATCCCCCATGCCTTACACATGGTAGACGGTGCCCAATTCATACCTGTTGATTGATAGTGAACAGCTAAGCAAACAAACAAATGCACAAAATAGGGAGCCCAAGCCATCTAACCCCACAAATAAACTGTAGATTTCCTGCTCAGAATTTCATCTTGTTGAATTTCAAGCACATTCGAATCCTCCAAATCATAGTTTCCTCCAGGTCTTTTGGGTTCCAACCTAGACATTAAGGGGGTTCCCCAATTTTACCTCAAAAACATATCCTTGCATGTATTTCACCAACTGGCCTTTGCTGAAAATTGCGCCCCACTCTTGGTGACATGACCCGTGGCCCAGAGGGAGAAAAATATAAAAACAAACTTATTACAGCTCAAGTGATTGTATTCATTGGTCATCTGCAAAGCCCTGCAGAAGAAAGGAATGAGCTCTGCATTCCAGAGGAGATCCCATTTGAAGAGTGATGTGGTGGGACTGGAAGCTCACCATGTGGTGAGGGTGCATGAGGTTGTGGGAGCAGATGAAGAAGGACAGCTGGAATTGAGACTGGAGATGAGGATGAAGACAGATGACTGGTCTCAAACTAAGGCATTTGAACATTACCCCCCAGGTAATGGGGAGCCACTGCAGGCTTATAAGCAGAGAAATAATATACTCCTTGTTATAACATACTCTGGGGAAACTCATGGGGGCAGGAAGCAGTGAAGCTGCAGGGGAAGACTGGAGGCAGGGAGGCTAGTCCAGGGAGGACGAAGGCTGTGAGAATGAGGGATGGGATGGCAGGAGAGAGTAAACTTGAGAAACTATATCTTTCCAGGTTCTAGGGGACTGTTTTCTGTTCCACACCTACTCAAGAAAACTTTTGAGTTTAATTATTTCTGTTAGCCTGGACAACCCTGTCCATTTTGACTTGGAGGAATGTACAGGTCTTCTACCTCTATTGTTTCTAGAGAAGGGCTCAGTTTTGTCACCACCAGAAGGGAGAACTTGTCATCCCAGTATCCCCCAAGTGGCCTGCTCAGACTTTTAGTCATGGTAGGTGGTCAATAAATACTGGCCAAATAAACAGTGAAATAATAATATTATCAAAGGCATAAATGTTAAATCTTAAAATAGTGTCTGGTACATAGTAAATGTTATATATTAACTCATTTATCTGAACAGCAACACTATGATATAAATACTATTATCTCCATTTTATAGAAAAAATAAAATACCGAGGCACAAAAAGGTTAAGTGACTTGCCCCAGACCACACAGCCTATAAGGGACAGAGCCAGGATTCAAACCCAAGAAACTAGGTTCCAGAGTCCATGGTACACATTAGCACCATGCAATATTGCCTGTCTAGTTGGTCTGTCAATATCTTGTTTATTGGGCATTGGCTCTGAGTTTCACACTGTGCTTGCTAGGCTCAGTGGGAATTTTTTTTTAAACTTAGTAAGCCATGTTTGTCCTTAAGAAGCTGACAACCTCACTAAGTAGATAGGATCACTCAAGCAAAGAGTTTACTGCTCTGTATTTAATCAAACAGTTCCAGTCATGACATTAGCCTTGGGTTGGTGCCAACAGCCAGCTCTAAAGCATGCCCAGCAATTGGAAGGTACCTACAAAATAGTTATTTAGCAAGAGAAAGACAAAGGTAGAAAAATGAACAGGGGACTCAGAACCTAGTCTGTGAATCAGCAAGTGGGTCCAGAACTTTAGTGATATCACATCTGTGGCACCATAAACCACAAAGATGGCAATTCTGGCTATTTCCTGAAGAAAGAGGCCTTCAGGCAGTTCATCCACCTCAACAGGACAGAAAGACTAGCCAACCTTTATGACAAAATAGGTGTTTATCAAACTTTAGGACTTATTTTCGCCAGAGATGGCTAACCATAAAGATTAAATGGATTTCAGGACTGTCTATAACCTCTCCATCCATAGGCCTCATAATTGGCATCTGTGTTTTTGCTAAATATATTTATCCATGCAGTCATAGACTCGTAGATTCACTTAATAAATACTAATCACACTCAATGTTCTGCTCTAAATGCAGATCTGTCTGTCTCCAAAACTTAAACTTCTACTCAATATGACATACTACCTCTCTAACAAGAAAGAGAACCCTCCACATATGCCACACTCAGGCAAAAGAGAGGGTCACCTTCAACCTCTTCCCCGATGGTTAGGGTTATGGGGATTACTCTGGTAATCCCACAACAGAGTACAGAGGGTCTGCCTGAGCACTCTGGAACGATAGGAAAATCAGAGATTGGCCTTTCATTCTTCAGGAAGCTTTATGGGTCTCCCAGGTCACACCTCCACAAGGTTTTCTCATACCTGGAAATTCAAAGCCCAGACATTATTGGCATAGGGATGCAATATGGCATTCTTCTCAATTTTCTTTTTCTAATTGTTACTATTGCAAGGAGCCAATAATAGAACTGTTTTCTTCTGTTTTTATCTGTGGATATCCCACAGGGACATTTATAGTGTTCTTCATATAATCATGGCTAGAATAGACTCTTTAGTGGTTGATGCCCCCATAAATCTGAAAATTCCTTCTCTACCACTTTTTGGGTGCATGAGCATAAGTAATACCAACCCAATTTGCTCTTATTGCCACCGGCTCAAGGCAGACCTATGTAGGCACCTCACTAGTAACTATAAAAATAGTTCACATTTAGTGACTTTACATGCATTATCTTATTTAATCTTTGCCACATCTCTGGGAAATGGCTAATGCTATTCCTGTTTTGTCTATGAGGAAACCAAAGCTTGGAGAGGACATTTATTAATGTTGTGCTGTCTACAAGCTTTGACTGGAGACCTTTCACTGTGCTTTTCTCCTGTTATCCAGGGATATCATCGACCTCGGCACTACATTGCAACTCAAGGTAAGTGCCCTCCTCCATCTAGTGCCTCAGAGAGACTTCAAGGGTGCCAGGGAAGAGGACTCTCTGGGAAATAGCATTAAGCCTTCCTGTCTTCTCCTCCTGTATCTGTTACCCGAACACTCCTTCTCTACTAAAGGGCCCTGGTCCTTCTCTGGAGGAGAGGAAAGAGCTTCCACCAGCAAAGAAGCCACAGAGGAGTAGGGCTGGAGAGTCTCCAGAGGTCCTTGAGATTGTTTGTTTCTGGGAAGGAAAGAGATGACACATTCAGCTCTAGGAGGGAGAGACACGAGTGAAAGGATGGAGCTATCGCTAGGAAATGTCAGGAGGGAGGGGTCCAGGCAGGGCAGATGAAAGGTATCAGCCTCAGGCAGTGCTTTCAACATCTTCCAAGCAGAGCAGGAGCTGATTGTGCCTTGTCTACTCAATGGGAATGTGCCTGTAGGAGAGATGTAGTCAGCTGCCCTAGAAAGTAACTCTGCAGTGGGTCCTCAGAAGGCTTAAAAATGATCATGTCTTTCAAATTCTTCTGGGGAAAAAAGTCCTGCAGATGAGTATATATGTGGACAATGATGTATATAAAAACATTCTACACAGTGTTATCTATAACAGGAAAAAAAAGTTAAAAATATTAAATGCCCAACAATTGGTAGATTGGTTAAATAAAGCGTGATATTTTCCTATTATAGAAAACTTTGCAGCTATAAAAAATATCATATTGGTAAGAATTTTTAAGGGCATCAGAAAATGCATATGATACGATGCTTATTGCAATAAATACATACTTATAAATAAAGAAAAATGGTATTCAAACTTTTATATCAAACACACATATTACTTTCATAATTTGAAAAATTATGAAGGCCCAGGACATTGAGAGAATAATTTCAAAAGAAATTGCTTTGGACTGTCAGATCCTATTTTCCACTCCTTGTCTTTAATTTTCCTTCCTTTCTGTTTGGGCTCTAGAGGAATGTTTCCAGCATTTGTCAAGCTCAAAATCGGGCATCTCCTGCTTTTGTTCTCCACATCTGGCGCCCAGCATCTCTCTCCCCTTCCCACTCCAATTGCCTTCCTGTCTCCCATTAAGGTTCTGGAGCCCAGTTTTTGAAAGCTCCCTTAAACTGTAATATAATCCAGATAAGGTGATGGGCAGAGCTGGTAGGAGGGGACTGAGCAAGAGGAAGACAGAAGCGGGAGGAGAAGCTACCAGCATTTGTAATAGATGCTGCAGACCCTGAACACTTGGAATGAGGCTTTTCTGATCCATTCACTGATTTGGCACCGTCAAGCTCACACGCCTCAGGCCCAAGTCTCAGCTACTTGGGGTCTTAACGGGATCACCTGTCCTCATTGTTGTTCATGATGTGGAGCCACAACTAACCACCAGGAGGCACAAACCTCTTGACTGCTTCCTTGCACTTGCAGTCTCTAACCCTATCGCCTTCTCTGTTGGCAGGTCCGATGCAGGAGACGGTAAAGGACTTTTGGAGAATGATCTGGCAAGAGAACTCTGCCAGCATCGTGATGGTCACAAACCTCGTGGAAGTGGGCAGGGTAAGCCTCTCCTGCACTTACCTGTGCAGAGAATGTTGGAAGTGCTCTCTTGAGCATCTCTCTGTTCAGTGCATCATGCTGAGGGCCTCCTACCCTACAAGGGAGTTGTCATCACTCCTATTTCACATTCAAGGAGTGTCCTTTCTCTTCAAATCCCCTCCATCACTTTTCCATCCTCACTCTCTGTTGATGATGTCATCTCATATAATTTGAGGAAATTCAAGCCATCAGACGTGAACTCCTTCATTATCACACCACAAAGCTTCAATCCTACTTGTATTTACAACCATCTTCTCGTTCTTCAGGTTATCTATCCATTATCAGGTTCAACCATAAGAAATGGCTGTTTTCATTGACCCAAAACAATCGAAGATCAACCATTTCTTGTGGTTCAGACTAATATAACAGAAGCCATGTCTCTGCCCTCCCAAAGTCAAGCCTACTGCCTTGAATCACATATTCTGCTTGAAAATTTTCTCAATCCCCCTCCCCCACTTGAAAAACAAGTCTCTCATTGCTGGATTGTTACCCTCGGTATACAAACCTGCTCAGTACCTCCCACCTTAAAAAGATGAAAATAGGCAAATAAAAATGATTCTCTTTTCCCCACTTTCCTGCCAAACTTTAAAGATTCACAAAGGCTCTGTTTCTTCACGCCTGTTATCTTCTACCCATTCTAGCATAGCTCTACCCTTCATTCCACCAATAGTGATATTGTCAATATCACTCACATTTTTCATGTGACAAATCCAATCGCCACTTCTCTCTTTTCATCTTACTCAACAGCTCAGCAGCATCTGACCCTTTGCCACCTGCTTTTCCTTCCCTGACATCCAAATCTTGATATTCTTCAGGGCTCAGGCCTTGGTCTCCCTTGCTGCCCTATCTCAACTCTCTCTGAAGTTGTCCTTAACCACTCCTATGACTTAGAAATAAGGCTACTATTCCAGATGGCTTTTACCTACTTGGATAACTGAGGCATTTGGGTTGGTTGGCTGCTGAGTTTAAAGGCAAGGTGTATAAACACCAGAATTAAAAGGGCCTCTCCACATATTATGTGAACTAACTAAAGAGTGGTCAGGTAAGTTTTTGTTTTGGTAAGAACCAGATAATAAAGGGGAAAGTATGGGCTGTCAGAATCCAATAAATGGGTATGGACATCTCATGGTCTAATAGGAATTTAGGGCCAGGCAAGACTTTATCCTTGAGAACACCCTTATCTAGTCCATTCCTCAGTTTTACAGATGAGGAAACAGACCCACAGGGGTGGAGTAACTACTCTGAAGCCACCCATCTAGAACCTAGGCGCAAAATCAGATTTGTGATTCTTTCTAGTGCTCATGGTCCATCCATCCAAACTGTTCCCTGGGAACTCAGGCCCAGGGTACAGCCACTGTGGACAAAAAGGCCAGCCCAAGACTTGAGATTTCAGAGGCCAGTTCTAGTCTGTCCTACAACTTATCCCACATTAGAAACAGACTCCCTTGATGAATATATCACAAGTCTAAATTGGATTTGGGGAGGAAAGCAATCTCTTAGAGGAACTTCTGCAAGTAGAAAAGCACTATACCAAATACTCGCTGTGCATTGGCTGGGTTTGATTCCTGACTCCGTCCCTTACTAACAGTTGATCTTGGGCAAATTTTAGCCTTCTTATGCTTCAGATTCCTCATCTGTAAAATGGGGGGGAAAATACCCACTTCATAAGGTTGTGGTGATAGGAGGTTAGAATAATACATGTAAAGTATTCGTAGCACACTTCATGAGTCGTTAGACATAGTAAGCAGTCAGTAAGTGTTAGCTATTATTATAAACAGGGAGCTGAACTCAGCAAGGTTCCAGCACTTTCTAGAAGCTACTCAGCTGCTGAGAGTTAGAACCAAGCAATGGATCCATTGGCCCCCAACCCCTGTGGCCCTATACCAGTGTTTCCCTAAGTGGGTTCCATGGGATGCTAGTCTGCAGGATGCTTAGTGAGAAGAGGGTTCCATGGTTAAATATGTTTGGGAAATGCTGTGTTCTCTGTGCCCCTGTTGGAGAGTCCTAAAACACATTAGCATTAGCACGCAGAAGGAGCTGAGTAGTCCTGTAGCAAAGCGGCCCGTTGAACTCTGTGTAACCCAGCATTTCCCAAACTCATTTGACCACAAAACCTTTTTTTCTTTGTTTTTTGTTTCTTGTTTTTTACCTAACACCTATTAGCACCCAGCGGAACACACTGTGGGAAATGCCACTCTAGGCCGTGCGGCGTCTCCCGGAATGGTAATCATGCTTTTGTTCTTTTAAGGGGAAAACCATGATCTCTTTTTTTTCCACAAGTGTGACTTAAAGAGTCGACTGTGGGCATGGCTTGTTGGTAGTGTCTGTACCCACTGCCAGGGGCAAAGAAAAGCTGTAGATTTTCCCTCGGAACCCAGCACCTGCCATCCTTCTCCCAACTGAGAACTTTCTCCTTTCAGTTCCCAAGGCCCACCTCTTAATGATGCCCCCTCCCCACCACTTCTGCTTCCACCTCCTCCCTGTTTCCCACCTTTTATTCTCATCTCTGCTCAGCTGATAGCACTCAGCTACTCCAGCAGAAAGGGGACTCAGCCAGTCCCCAAACTGGCCATGTGACCTAGGACAATTCACCAAACCTCCAAACTTGAGTATTATTTTCATCTGTAAAATGGGGATGATAATACCCACCTATGGGTAATGTTCTTGTTCTATTTGATCACTTAGGGTAATAATGCATTGGAAAGACACAGGGAGCTTTGCAAAGAAAGGTACTACTATTTCATTTCTAATGGCTTCAACGCCTCTGGGTGTGACCTTTGCCCTGTGAAGTCTGCTGAACCCTGGTCAGCTGAGAACCCTGGGCACTGAAATGCCACAGAAGCTACCCTTGGGTTGATGTGAGTGGGAAGGCCAGGTGAGGTGGCTGCTCACATACAGCATGTGCTCACACAGCCTCATCCCATTCTTTCTCTGCCTCTCACTTGGCCACAGGTGAAGTGTGTACGATACTGGCCAGATGACACGGAGGTCTACGGAGACATTAAGGTCACCCTGATTGAAACAGAGCCTCTGGCAGAATATGTCATACGCACCTTCACAGTTCAGAAGGTAAGCATCCCTGTGGCTGGCGCAGCCTGTGCACCAGGCCAGCCAGTGTGTTTGCTCATCCAGAACTTATGGTTACTGAGGGTCTGTTCTATGCCCAGCCCCAAGTTTGGCACCAGTGACAGAGCAGCAATCAAGTCATACGTGGATCCTGTTGCAATAGATTCCACATTCAGTGGAAGGGAAAACTAATTAATGAAATTAATGAAATAATGACACATTGTGATAAAAGCAACAAAGGAACACATAAAAGACATGTTAGAAAGCCATAGGAAGATGAGGTGGTCAGAGAGGGCCTCTCAGAGGAAGAGGCATTTGGGCAGAGATTAAGAAGGTGAACCCAACCAGGGGTAGGATGGAAGGAATACTTTCCTGGGCAGAGGGAAACACTATACAATCTGGAGGGGAAAAAGATCTCAGTATGTTATAGGCCTGAGGTTCTTAACTAGGGGCAATTTGGTCCCTCAGAAGATATTTGCAAATGTCTAGAAACATTTTTGGTTATCACAACTTGAGGGGAAGGGCAGGCAATTACTGGCTCCTAGTGAGTAGAGGCCAGCGATGTGGATAAATATCCTACAAAGCACAGGACCAGCCCCACAACAAAGGACTATCCAGCCCAAAGTGTCGATAACATCAAGATTGAGAAATGCTGGTCTAGACATTGAAAGAAGGCCCAGGTTGCAGGGGCTTGGTAGACATGAGGGTAACTGAGAATTATTATTATTATTCAATTGATAATTTAATTATTATATTATCATTCCTACTGTATCATTACTATTATATCACAATGACAGCTAACATTTACTGAGCACTTACCAAACCAGCTGGATTTCTAAGTGCTTTGCATAGATAAACTCATTTAATCCTCCCAACACCCTATGAAGTAAATGCTATTATTATCTGCATTTTACAGATGAAGAAACTGAGACACAGAGAGTTTAAGTCAGTTGTCCAAGGTTGCCCAGCTGCAAGGTGGTAGAACCAGTTTTCATACCTTGGCTTCTGAAGCACATTGACCCTTCCTCTACATCACAGTGCCATTTTTATAAAAGCAGTTGCTTTAATGAGTGGACCATGTGTCTATAACCCTGAGGATGTAAAAGCATGGGGGAACTTTGGCTTTGAGAGCTATGCCTTTGGGGTTGAGACAAGTCCTTGCAGGGCCAAAGCAGGCTGCTCTTTAGACTGGAGCCCAACATGCCACAGGGATGATCCTGCATGCATGGTGTGTCCCAGGACATACTGTTTGTTCCTGGCAGTTCCTCCTCAGATCCCTATGCTCCTAACAGATCAGGGTCTTTTCATCTGAGTCTGCAATCTCATGTGAAAAGGTCAGAAAGCCTGTGGGCTCCCTCCACTACAAGGAGGGAAATCAATTTGGGTGTTGCTTTAGGTCACTTTTTTTAGAAGCAGAGCCTGAGGCAAGGATTTGGGTATATGTGGTGTATCAAGGGAGTTCTTTCAGGAGAAGGCCTCAGAGAGGTAGGGAAAGGGGAGGTTCAGAGCAAGGACAGAGTCTTCTGTGAAGTCTAGCCTAGGCTTCATCCACAGGGGACCCCTGTAACATAAACCATACCACAGAGTTATCCCCCTTGAGGCAAGGAAGCCAGAGTTTTGTGCTCCCATATGAATTAGTCCACTGACTGTGGTTCAACCACTGAGGAGTAACCTCCAGTGTGAGCCAGCTCCTGTCAGCAGAGGACAGGTCTCCAGGAAAGGGGACAATTGGGAAGTATTAGCAACCAACACTCCCTGCAACTGAGACCTGGGAACAAAAACCCAATGGAGAGGACCAGGGTGGGGCACCAATCCCATCTACCACATCTGTGGCTAGTGTCTGAGAAAGGGATGAGTGACTGGAAATATGTGCCCCATCTTGAGACCCAGACTGAGCAGAGAGGCCTTAGGAGATTGCAGCCAGCAAAGCATGCTGAGCAGTTAGGGTCTTTCTTAGGTTGACTTTTTGTTTTTCTTTTGAAAACAAGCACAAGCCGGGCCCCGGTGGCTCAAGCCTGTAATCCCAACACTTTGGGAGGCCGAGGTGAGAGGGTTGCCTGAGCCCGCGGGTTTGAAACCAGCCCAGGCAACTTGGCAAGACCTTGTCTCTACAATACATAAAAAATTAGCCGGGCATGGTAGCATGCGCCTATAGTTCCAGCTACTTGGAAGGGTGAGGCAGAAGGATCGCTGGAGCCCAGCAGGTCAACACTGGGGTGGCTGGGAGCATGCCACTGCACTCCAGCCTGGGCGACAGAATGAGACTCCAACTTAAAAAAAAAACACACAAAAAAACAATTGCTGGGCATGGTAGCACAACCTGTAGTTCTGGCTACTTGGAAGGCTGAGGTAGAAGGATTGCTGGAGCCCAGGAGGTCGACACTGGGGTGGCTGGGTGATGGAGTGAGACTCCAACTCAAAAAAAAAAAGAAAAAAGAAAAGCAAGCACAGGAGAAGATATTGCCCATGGGGAGATGCCCTTAAAAGACCTCAGGTGCCTCTATGAGGATTAACTGGATTTAACTAGCCTCCCCACAGTAGGCAGGCAGGTCCTTAGCAAACACTGCCTGGGATTTTAGCTCAAAATCAGTTCCTGAGTTTGAGACCCAGAAATAATAAATGGGAACTGTTGTCTGCCCTTGAAGAGAGCACAGTCCCTTCAGGATCTTTGATAAAGTGTCGCAGCACAGGGAAGGCCTTGAATGGGGGCTTCCTGGGGCCGCATTGATTTGGAGGATAGAGTAAAAAACTCCAAGTATTCTTGAAACTGTCTTCTCCCCACTGGCTTCAGCTCGTCCTTCACTGGCTTCACCTCTCCCTCCTACCGGGACTCTGCCTCTAATCCTGCCCCGCCTTAGTTTGGATATCCTGGAAGCAGAGCCTGAGGTGACAGGGCTTTGGGTGCCCTGGATCATGTGTTGAGGGAGGTAGGGCAGGGTGAGGGGAGAACTGGCAAGGACATGGCCTCAGCTGGAGCCCTGCTTCTACCGGATCCCCCGGGAGTCCCAGGGCAGAATGGTACTGTAGGCTTGGGTCAACCATGAGGCTGCGGGCCTTAGGTGCCCCATTAGGATAACCGATTATTCTGGTTTGCCCTGAATGATCCTGGTTTTAACATGGAAAGTTCTGTGTCCTAGGAAACCCCTCAGTCCTGTGCAAACTGGGCAAGGGACAAAGCCAGATGTCCACTCTAACTCTCCTGTGAGTCACTGAAGGCCAGTTGCGCCACCCATTCCCCCATGCCCCGGGGGAGAGGCTTCTGTCCAGTGAAGGGTCTTCCGAAGACAGGACAGGGGTTATGAGAACTGCTGCAGCCAAGACTTAGAGCAGCGGGGATGAGTGGATGGACCCAGGGAGGGGATCTGATGGTCAGCAGCAATATCCTCCCTGCAACCCCAACACACTCACCCAAATCCATCCCTCTCATAGCAGGATGCAGCCTCCTGAATCTCAAGCTTAGTAATGCATTTCCCCTTCTGTGCACCACCTGTGTAACGTCCCTATAGCTCCCCAGTGCCTTGGAGATAATGGCCAAAGGTCTCAGTGTGGATTCAAGACCTTCCAGGATTCAGCACCCACCCATCCTCGCACAACCCCACTCCTGAGCTCCCCATGCCTGGCTCCCACCTGCTTATGAAGTTGCCCTGGTTGTTGGTGCTTCTCTGCACATACCATGCTGAGCTCTGAACCCAGACGCTCGCCCATGCTGTCTCCCTGCCTCCGATTCCCTATCATGAACTGGGTAATACCCACAGATCAGTGCACCATAATGACTAGGAGTGCAGACTGTAGGGCCAGACGGCCAGGTTTCAAATTGTCCCATGACAACTTCCTAGTTGTCTTATGACCTTGGACATGTTATTCAACCTTGCTTAGCCTCAGTTTCCTCAACCATCAAATGGAGGTAGCAATATGAGCATTGATATCAGGATTCAGTGAATCAACACACTGAAATGTTCAGAAGGGTGGCTGAGAAATAGTCATTGCCTAATAAATATTAGCTTTATTTTGGCTCCAGAAAGCCTTCTCTGATTTCTCCTCTCCCAAGATCAGGTTAGTTAGCATTCCTTTATTCGGTTTCATAGAATTATCCACTTAGGAGTCTGCCTCCTGATGAGGCCATGAGGTATTCCAGGGACAGGGGATGTGCCTAGCACAAGGCTGAGCACAGGTCACCCTTAGTGAATAATTTTTAACTGAAGAAGTGAACAATCAAACACTCTCTCTAGTCAATGCTCTCTAGATATCTACCAAAGATTGCCAAGTAGAATAGCAGTTGGTAGGAGGAACTGTGCAAGCAAAGGCACAGAGGTATGACCTGGTCATGGACTAGACAGAGGCCACTCTGTGGCCTGCAGTGTGTCTATGTGAGGGCATGCGAGGGGGGGAACTGCTCAGAGCTCTGGGCCTCTGCTTCCATCAGTCAGAGAAGCTCTGCTTTTGTGGGTTTCACATCTTGCAGTTCTAAATGAGAATCTACTTAATAACGAAGCCCACTAATTTTTTTTTTCACTTTGCAAACTGCAGACAGTATCATAGTCAAGGCCAAAATGCTAGGAGGATATCGGATCTCAACCACTGAAAGGCCTCCTATTTCAAAAGCAACAATGTGAACTTAGTCTTTAAAGCCGTTATTTCTTTGAATCTGTTCTACTGAATACACCTCTTATGAAACACCTGTCAAAGAGAGTTCCCTGGGAAAACACCGTGGGTGCCATATCACTCTCTTGGGCATTCAGAATGTGTATGAGCACACTGAGGGCTCTGAGAAGTCCTGCAATAAAACAATTAGTTTCACTTTGACTAGTTCCACAGTCCCCAAATGTACCTGATCCTAGAATCGCTCTATACGTTAATACCTACTAACCCTGTGGGGGCCTTGTCCTCCCTGGAGGCTCCTCCGTGAGCCTCCATGTGTTGCTGGGCTGGGTATGTGACAGCAGCAGCTGGAGGAACAGAGGTTGGTTCTCTCCTCAGAAAGGGTACCATGAGATCCGGGAGCTCCGTCTCTTCCACTTCACCAGCTGGCCTGACCACGGAGTCCCCTGCTATGCCACTGGCCTTCTGGGCTTCGTCCGCCAGGTCAAGTTCCTCAACCCCCCAGAAGCCGGGCCCATAGTGGTCCATTGCAGGTAAGTCAAAGGTCCCCACTACTCCAGGGTGCCTCTGCAGCTCAGCTCTCTTGAGGAGGGAGATACTATATTCTGCAGTGGCTTTACTCTTTGCCTTAAAGACTCCCCTTAAAGACTCCTATGTCCCTGTGTCCAGTACTTTCTGATGAGACTCAGCCCCAAAGTCTAACAGCAACATTGTGGTCATTGTTGTTGTTGTTGCCCTGAAACAGTGAAGTCCCCCAGGGATGGACATTGCTGTATCTGCTATTAATACATCTCCCATGTGCACTTACCCACATCATTTCATTTACTTCTCATCTAACCTTGAGAGGTGGGCATTATTATCATTCCCATTTTACAGATAAGAAAACTGAGGTGCTGAGAATGTAGACACAGAGTCAGGATATTTAGCATGCTTTTCTCCAGACGCACACCCTCAGGTCCTTGATGTGGCAGCAGGGTGTCTTGGTAGAAATGTATTACTCTTCATTTCTATTATTTTTCAAACCAATTGCCAGCCTGCAGGGCCCCTAATAGAGAGTAAATGGACAGCACTAGGTTTCATCTTATCCTGGAGAAGAGGTATTTTCAGCTCTGACCTAAAAAGTCACATTGAGAATGAGTGGCACGTCTTTGAATCCTTCCAAATGGAGATGAAGTATCATGTCAAGGGCATTCAGAATTGGAGGAAGATGAGCACCCTGACCTGGACCGGTCAGCCCGCATCCTCCTGCTTCTCAATACTTCCCTTTTCCAGTATGACCTTGGCCAACCCGTCTGCTCAGACACCGCATGCTCAAGTTTTTGCATCCCTGCCTTGGCAGCATCCACATCAGTCGAAGGACCAAAAAGGCTCTGCACACCATGGCTGTCTCAGAACCAGCTTCCTCCTCACACAGCATCCATTTATCTTCCCCCACAAAAGTAGCCTCATTGACCCCATTTCACAGATAAGGCATTGAGGATGAGGAGGTAACACTCATCACAGATCCTGCGCCCTCTAAGAATTTTGCAGGTATTCTCTGCTTTACATTTCATAGCAATCCAAAAACAACAGAACATTAGCCTCCAAACTCTATACCCCAAAGATCAGTCAGAGCAGGGGTTAGGGAGAAAGAGAGACAAGAACAAATGTCTATCAGGCCCTCTGCTAAGCCCAGAGCTGTGCATGATGGCTCAACATCTGTGTCTCCATAGCATGTCACCATAATGCATCTGAGCACAGTGGTACCCACTTCTGGGGCTGTTCTGAAGATTAAATGGGTCGGCTAACACATACTAAGTGCCTAGGAGAATTCCTGGCATATAGTATGCACTTAAAAGCATCACTATTCTCTGCCTCTTAGTTTTGTCTCCTCTGCAGATTCTTAATACTTTGGGAGAGGAGTCATGTTTCTATATCCCCACTCATAATCCTAGCATCCAGTGCATAGTATATTCTCAATAAATACTTGTTGACTGTAAGTAGCAACTATTTATTGAGAAATTACTATGCAACCAGGCACAGGGCTAAGCAATTTACATGTATTATGCTTTCTAGTTATAACTTTATGCAATTTGCTTGTATTATGTATGCTATTAATGCTATGAGGTTGGTCTATTTATTGTTATCAGCATCATTTTATGGACGAGAGTATTGAAACCTGAAAAACTAAGACACGTATCCAAGATAACACATCTAGTAAACTAGAGCCAGGATTTGATCCTAGGAGACTTCCAAATATTCTGTGTTTAATTACTATTGGATGCTGAAATAAACAGTTCAGTCCTTACAAGAACCCTGCAGGAAGGTGTGACTGAGGCTCACAGATACCGGGCGACTTGTTCACTGGTAGTAGTTCCATAACTCAAAACCAAATTGGGCTGTTTTTTTTCCCCACTAAAACATGTTGAGGATGAGACATTGAAGAAGGAATAGGTGACTTGCTCTTTGTACTCCCTCCTAGACATTGAGGTCCAGCCTGCCTGTCAAGTCTCTTTTGGGTAGAAATTGGGGGGTGGGAGGAAGGAGTGTTCTTAAGGGGATATAAGTCAGACATTACTCAGTTCTAACTATGAAATTTTATCATGAATGAGGACTCTGTTTCCAATGAGTTTATTTTCCAGGTCATTGTGGGTGGTAGTCCCTACTGACCCATGCTTCTTGAGTGTATAACCAGCGAATATTGCTTTTCTGTCTTGTTCATCTCACTTCCTCTTTGCATCTCCTTTGCTTTCCACATTGTTAAACAAAGACACTTGTTTCCATTAGGGAAACAAGACATGAGAATGCAGCTGAAGGGGGCCTCCCTGACAGGCTGCCCAGCATTCCCTGCCAACCTGCATTTGTGTATGGCACATGTCCTGTGTGTCTCTGATTCTGCCTCATTGTCTTAGAACCCAGCACTAATCTGGGAAAGGCTGGCTGTGGTTCTTGGAGTCTCGTTGGGTTCTCTTGCTGTTTATTGCTCTGAGTCTCTCCTGAAGTAGCCAGTAGTGATTGGAAATTGAATACGTGTCAGAAAAGGTGATACCTGGCATCACCTGCTCCAGTTTCGTGATGCTCCTGGTGCATTATTCTAGGGAAGTAGCTGCCAATGGAGCCAAATGCTAGGCCTTGGACACGAGACTCTGGGATTCACTAAGGGACAGCTCAGAGGACTCCAGTCTCTGCCCTCTCATTCACCTCCTCTCTGTTCTCTCTCTCTGCACCTTCCTTGTTTCCATCCACCAACCTATTTGCTGAAGAATAAAAGGAAAAGGAGGAGAAAAAGAAGAGCAGGAAATAGAAAAAGGCATATTTATTAGGCATTTCCAGTGTGCCAGGCACCATATTAGGCATTTCATACTCTGTAGAAGGATTGTCTTTATCCATCAGATGAGGACACTGTGTGTATGCAGGTTGTGTGAGCATGTCTTATGTACTATATTTAAATATTGTTAAGACAGGAAGTGGAAAAGTACACACTCTAAAGCCAGACCACCTGGGAAAACTCTCAGCTGTACCACTCACCAGCTGTGTAACCTTGGGCAAAGTAAGTTCTCTGTGCCTGAGTTTCTTACCTGTGAAATGGGATGAGAAACTTCCTAACAACTTCATAAAATGTATAGGTAACATTTATAAATCACTTAGAGCAATGCCCAGCACTTTGTAAGCACTAAATAGTGTTTGCTAAATGTGTTTAACAAAATAAGTCAGTCCTGATAAAATAGTCCTCAAAGACAGCTTTACTCTCTCGTTTTACAAAGGAAGGAGCTAAGACTCTGGCTTTAGTTGCTTCCTCAGCACATTCCAGGAACATTGAGATTGAGACTGTTCTGTCTGACTTCTGCAGCACACTGCTTTTCAGCAGGGCCCTCAGGAAGAGGACTTAACCATAGGGGTCTCCCGAGGGCTGATCCCTCAACCATGATCCTTGATGCAGACCATACCCTTTCTTCCAGTGCTGGGGCTGGGAGGACCGGCTGCTTCATTGCCATTGACACCATGCTCGACATGGCCGAGAACGAGGGTGTAGTGGACATCTTCAACTGTGTGCGTGAGCTCCGGGCCCAGAGGGTCAACCTAGTTCAAACAGAGGTGAGTCCTAAGGAACTGAGCCAGCTGGCCACTTGTAACCCTGGCCAAGGACAAGCTTGGAACTAGAGACTCATAGGTGGGGGAATCCTATAGGAAGGAACCTGGATATGGGGGATGCAGGATGGAGGAAACACATAGCTTGCTATGGTGAGTGGGAGAGAGGAAGCACATGGCATGCTATGGTGAAACCCCTGGAGAAGCTGGGGTGCCCCAGACAACCCTGGGGGAGCTTCTACCAGTGATGAGTGGTGGTGAGTTCCCTATCTCTGAGGGCATCCAAGCAGGGAGTGTTCTGAAACTTTCAGGGGTTCTTTGAATAATATTCCTGCCTTGAATGAGGGAATAGAGAGGGAAAGAGAACTGGCATTAATTCATGCCTACTGTGTGCCCAGCTCTGATTCAGTCACTGAGCACTGGCATCCAAGAGAGATGATGCATAGCTCCTGCACTTGAGGGAGAGACTGGCCTTTAGGTGCCCCTCTATACAGATAGAGAGCCCCAAACTTGAGGGAGTAGAAGGGGCTCATCTTCATTGTTAAATACCTGCTATGAACCAGGCAGCTTTCTTTGCATCTAGGATATTTTTTCTACTCCTCACAACAACTTACGGTGTAGCTCCTGCTAGTATGTTGATTCTATCAATGAAGAAGCAGCCAGAAAACTGTGTCCCCAAGACCTCACATAGCTAGACTGTGGTAGAATGTGGGTATGTGACCCAAGGCCCCAGCTCTCTTCCCTGAACCACACTCTCTTGCTAAACAGCCTTTTCTGCCTGTCCCACTCTGCCATGCTTTGGTTTCTTCCTATAATGACCCCTCTTCTGGTTCTAGTGAAGGCTGTGGGTGTCTGGAAAGTCAGTGGTGGGATAGATAAGGAGCTGCACATACCATCAATCCTTCCAAAGGAAGCGGCCCATGACTTTGGGCATAGCCAGTCATTCTGACTCTGCAGTGAATACCCCCGTTCATAGGTTTACACACAAAGAATTCCCCTGCAGGCTCTAGACTAATTCACACAGGCAATCTTCAGGCTTCTTTCACTAAACCAAGAGGGATGCTATATCTGTTCTCAGTTCATGTATGCATGGTTGGGGTCAGATACATGGTCCCTACTTTCTGGTGGGGGAGGCATATTCAAATGTAAACACATCATGATGCCTCTGGATAAGCACTTTATATAGAGAGAATAACTGAGTTCTGAAGGGGAAAAAAAAGTCACTCAACAAACATTTATCAAGGGCCTAGAAGTAACAACAACAACTTCAGCCTGATTAATTGAGATGACTTTCCAGTAGGAATGAAACATAGAAGTGCATAAAAGGGGGTGTGGAGTTTCAAGAGACAAGAACAGCAGGTACAAAGTGAGATAGGAGAAGGTATGACACATGTTTTTGGAGCTGACTCTGAGACAAAAAAAATTGAGGAAAGGTAGTTTAAGAGGTAGTCCCAAGACACACCGGTTGGTGAGCAGGAGAGTGAGACAGAGAAGGAGAAGAAACAAACAAAAGTTATTTCATGAAGCCGTTAAACACTGTAGACAACTGGAGCCCAACTCTGCTGGGAAATTCTGAGGGACAGTGTGGAACATGGTTTTTATCCCCAACTCCCCAGCTGTCATTGCTTGAGGGTTACTTTCCATACACCCAACTGTGCTCCTGGGACTAGAAAGAAAGCTCTCTGCAGAGAATTGCAGGTGTTTGCAGCAAGCAGCCTTCATTAGGTAAAGGTGAAAGCTAAGGGGACATGGACTGGACACCAAAAGCATCTGCTACAGCATGTCTAGAAGTCCCTCATTTGTATCAGTGACTGTGCTGTTCAATCCCATACAAGAAACAAAACTCACCACAGCTCAGACAATCACTATGATACGTGGAAACTTGACCCTTCAGGTTACAGGATAAAAAGTAAGAATTCTTCAATATGAATTATGCCCATTCTTCACAGCTGCAAGATTAATATGGACAACAAGCCCCCAGGTCAGTATTTTTACCTGGTGCCCTTTTCCCGCTCCCCTTGACCTAACAGGAGCAATATGTGTTTGTGCACGATGCCATCCTGGAAGCGTGCCTCTGTGGCAACACTGCCATCCCAGTGTGTGAGTTCCGCTCTCTCTACTACAACATCAGCAGGCTGGACCCGCAGACCAACTCCAGCCAAATCAAAGATGAATTTCAGGTATGGAAAAATCCCAGGCTTGGTGACTATCTTAGTTTGGGTTGTTATAACAACTTTCCATCGATTGGGTGGCTTAAACAATAGGCATTTATTTGTTACATTTCTGGAAAGTCCAAAATCAAGCTGCCGGCAAATAGAGCATCTAAGGAGGGATCACTTCCTGGCTTGCAGACAGCTGCCTTGTTGTTCATATCTTTGCATGGTGGAAAGCCGAGAGGAAGCAAGCTCTCATGTTTCTTTTTATAAGGACACTAATCCATTCATGGGGACTCCACACTTAGGACCTAATCGCCTCCCAAAGGCCCCACCTTCTAATTCCATCATAGTGGGGGTTCACATTTCAACATAAATTTGGGGGGTAAGGCAAACATTCAGTTCACAACAGTGACCCAGTCAACTTCAGCAGCTTTGTGCTAATTTATGAAGCTTTCTTGGTGAGAATTGATACCTCTATGCACTTTGTGTCTGTGGCACTAAGCAGCTGCAGAATGCATTCCAGAACACAAAATGCACAGCCATGACATTATAAACCAGTCATTCACTGATTGCTGGGGCTTGTTTTTAACTATGATTATGTTTTCAAACTGAGGTTTTATCAGTTCTAGTCCAGGTTGTGATGGAGATAAGTTCATACACACAGATGTGAATTTTATGCTCCCTCATCCCCGGAGGGATTTAAGGATTTCTCAGTATTTTTTCAGTCGATTCTTGCTACTCAAGGTGTGGTGAGAGACCAGCAGCATCGGTTTCACCTGTGAGCTTGTCAGAAATGCAAAATCTTGTGCACCTCCCAGACCTACTGAATAAGAACACACAATTTAACAACATCTCTGTATGCATAGTCAACCTTGAGAAGTACTGTCCCAGAACACAACTCAGTGACAGCAGTTCACACCTTGGAGGCTTATATGGTAGAACTGTGGCAACTTTGGTCTAAGAGGCCTGGGCATGAATTACTGGGTGAGGCAAAGCTAGAGGCCAGTCCTTAACCCTCAGGCCATACCTGGGCAATGGGAGCTGAGAACTAGGCAGAAGGAAGCAAGGAAGCTCTGGGTCTTGCTTCAAGTTCGTGGGTAAATGCTGGGCTCGTGGTTCCATGGGCAGATACCCCAGCTGGGCCAATACCTAGTGTCTCTTCAAGCAAATAGCCTATACTGATTTGGAGCAGAGCTAGAGTACTAAGTGAGGGAAGGACAAAGGACACAGAACCCTTGTCATTGCTCATAGAGTATAGTCTTTTGGCTGGGGCTGTTCAGCTCTGGCCCCAAATTGGCAAGCCTTATTCTGCAGAGCCCAAGTGCTGCAATTTTCCAAATCTACTAGGGCTTGCCCCTTGGGAGTCTCTCACCCATCCTGAGCAGCTCATCCAAGCATCCTTCCATCCTCAGGCAGCATTCTCTCTGAGAATAGTGCTGGTAAATAATTTCCCTCATTCCATGACCCTTCAAGTGATGCGTAACACTCAGCAGGGATTCCCTGTCCCTGTCCCCACCATATGACCTCCTGGCTGGCTCACTCTTTGATGCAGCACCAACTGAGCTGAACCACTTAGTTCACATGGTTGGCAGTTGCTGCGAGCCTGTGTCTGAGCCTGTGTGGGCATGCTGCCCTGAAACTCTGGCATCCTGAAGGCATCACACAGCTCACTTGCTCTGTAGCAGTAAGCAGAAGAGGATAGAACATCACCATGGAAGAGGAATGGGTCCTGGGAAAGGAGCTGTGGGGCCAAGCTTGGAGAGTAGAAATAGGTGAGTTAGGATGAATTGGAACATTACTGTCTCCTCTGTCGAGGGCCAACTGTCTGAGCAGTGCTTCTCTATCCACTTTTGTGCCCCACAGACCCTCAACATTGTGACGCCCCGTGTGCGGCCCGAGGACTGCAGCATCGGGCTCCTGCCCCGGAACCATGATAAGAATCGGAGCATGGATGTGCTGCCTCTGGACCGCTGTCTGCCCTTCCTCATCTCGGTGGATGGAGAATCCAGCAACTACATCAACGCAGCACTGATGGACGTAAGCTGAGCCCGGGCAGAAAGCTCCTGGCTGGCATTCCAGGGAAAAGCTTCTTCCCAGGGTGGAGGTGGCAAGACCCCAGGGCTCTGCTTCCACCAGTCAACCTCTCCTTACTTCTCATCTGCTGGCCCCCAGGACCTTTGCTCCCCGCAAAGGCTCTGGTCCTAACCTACACAAAAGCTCACATCAAGAGCATGGAAAGAATAGACCAAAGGCTAAAGTAACTCTCACCACACCCTGGAAGTCTATGGGCCTGCACAGCAACCCCTTCCCATTCTCCACAGAGCTCTCAGCCTGAGTACAGCAAAGGAAGCATTTTTTGTGCCAGGCCTTGGCCTGGGTCTGGGATCTGGTATCTCCCATGCAGGTCCCCAGGTAACTCCTGTGCAGAGGCACAAGTGAGGGTGACATATAGTAGGTGCTCGGTAAATGGTCATTGGGCAAGGGATATGAAGCAGTAGAACAAGCATGGAGGAGAGCAGAACATGTTCCTAACTAGACTGTGAGGGCACAATCTCTTGCTCTCTTGACTTCAGGTTCAAGACGGGCACTCCACCCTGCCCTGGCTTGGCATTAGAGTCATGTTCTTGCCCCAGTGGGCCCAGATTTCTGCCTCGCATGTTTCTCCCTGGGATCTTCCAGCTATATCAGATTAGCATAACTTCCCAACCAAGGTGTATATAGTACAGGTGTGTGCAGCAGAAAGGATCCATGGACCATCTAGTCACAGTCACATACTTTTCAGAAGAGGAAACTGAGACCAGAGAAATAGACTTGCTCAAGATCACCCAGAGAACTAGTGGCAAAACCCAAACACAGCGTTCCTGGCTAACACTATAGGATTTATGTCTTGAGTCTCCCCACAGTTTGCTGTATCCAGTAAGATACAAACATCTTGCCTTCTGAGGCTTAGGACAAAGAACACCATTGCATGACTGGAATGAGCTCTTCCAGGCCCCCCTTTCCCCCAATATCTGCGATCCTCATCCAGCCAGCCCATGTGGTCCTCCCACCTCACTCAGAACAGATAAGAACATGGGGTTCTCTCTCCTGAGGTCAAGGCTAACAACTTCTCTGACTTCTGACCCTCCTGAACTTTCTCCCCAAGGCTTCTAGGTGCTGGAGGCAGGGGGGTAATGGGAAGTCAATGTCTTTCATAGCTTTCTGGGGGCCTGCCTTGGCCTCTGTCCATGGGGCATCCATGTCCTCCATGAAAACCTTGGCTTTGGACCCAGAATCAGGGAGTCTTGACTTGGTCATATCAAATAACTAGAAGTGGAGAGAGGCATCTGACATTAGCTTAGAACCTTCTAAAGTCAATGTGTGTACATATGTGTGTATGTATGTATGTGTGTGTGTGTGCGCGCGCGTGCGCGCGTGTGTATGTGGTGAGAAATGAGGTCTGGGGTGCACTCACACTTGCAAGCTCCTCCTAGCTTTGTCTCCAATTGTCCCAATACCCCATCCCTGCCTTCCTCATCCAGGCAAGGATCAAACAAGCTCCTGGCCTCTACTTAATAGGTTAGATGCTGCCTGGAGTCAAATGCCTTCTGCCAAGCTCTGATGCTGATTGTATTCTCTTTGTCCACTGGGCATTTCTCCTGTGAGCCATCACTGGGGCCTTTGCCTTTCTTATATACATTTTTTAAGTCCTTATCTGTATTCCAGCACAGTCTGTGTATTATCTGGTAACCATAGCAGCTTTGCTCCTAGCAGAAAAATATGAAGTCCTCTGGGTTAATTTTTAATGTTTCCCCTGGTAAAGGATGATGTTATCCATGAAATGGATTGCTGGCTGATCCCTGAAACCCGGCAGGAGCACGGATCTCGAACATATTTTCAGATAAGGCTTTGTCAGGCGTGCTGGCCTAATAGAGCATTTATCACAGAGACAGGGAAAAAGAAAAGAAAACTAACATTCACTGAGTGTTGGGCACCATGTCGGACCCTGGACTTGTATTGTCTCATTTTGCATGTGGATATTGTTATTCCCATTTTGGGATGAGGTCCTGAGGCTCAGAGTATTTCCATCACTTGCTCAAGGTCAATCAGCTCAGAAAGTAGGGAGTCATAGACCTGAGCCCCAAGTCTGTTGACTCTCAAAGTCTAGATTATTCTATATGTCTGGAAATGGCTCAACTACCATGCTGTCTAAGCTACAATTTAGCATTGGAAAAATGAGTTGGTCTACCTCTGCCCACTCAGATCCCTCCTCTGGCTATTTCGTGGGTCAGGAGAAAGCCCTTGGAAGACAGGTCCCTCCCCTAATGCGTATATGACATCAACATTTTAAAAGGCTTTGTCCTGCTTTCTCCAGGGTCATAGTCCGACTTCCTTCCCCTTCCTCCTGATTGTGACTCCCCTGATAGCAGCAGTGATTCCCACAAAAACCATCTCCTGAGAAAACTTGTTGAGAACTTGGGCTGTTTCTCAGGTTTTATAAACTAAAAACGAAGTGGAGAATCTCCCTAATTTTTCCAAACACCTTCTTGCAGGGTGGTGTGACATAGGGCCCAGTTGAAGCTTCCAGAATCCCCAGTCCATTTTCTTGTGGCCCCTATTTTCCTGCCTGTAACATGGGACTGAATCTATTGACTTACTCACTAGAGCTTGCTAGCGTGTGCCAGCCACAAGGCTGGTGCCAAGTCAGGGGTCCTCTGCCCTGCCAGTGGGCTCACATCCAGGCTCTTGTTTGCTGCTCTTGCCACATGCAAATCTTATTCAATCTGTGTGGATTTATGATTCCCATTTTCCAGATAAAGAATCCAAGCTTTGGAGCAATTTTAATAAGTGGCCACAGCTTAGCACTCCCCACAAAAGGTGCTCTGCAAATGGTGTTTGAATGGAAGAACAAACGTGTGGAAGAACGGATGGATGGCTCATAACTTACAAGTGGCAAAGCTGAGCTTGAACCCCAGGTCTGCCTGACTCTTAATGCGTGGGTGCTTTCCACTGCCCCATTGGCTCACAGAACTCGGTGCTCCCCTTGTCAGACCTGCTCACCCCCTCATTCCAGCCTGCCCCTTCCGGACACTCTATGCCTCAGGCTGACCCATACCCTCCCCCAGCACCCTGGGCACAGGGACTTGGTGGATCCCTTATATCCCAAGAGGTATCTCAGTCAGCAGAGCAGCAAATCTGCATCTAGAATCTTTCATTTCATATTGTAATGATAATTATTTGCTGAGCTCCAAGACATAAATAATTTATTTGTATAATCCCCATCCAAGTGACACTTTCCTAATGAAATGTCTTAGTTTGGAGGAGAATGTGTTCATTATGAGGAGGTCCCCTTTGCCGCCAGGGCACCGAGAGATAACAGAACAGGCAGGTGCTTTGTATAATCCATTTGGCAGGCTCGGGGCCTCTGGCAGGCGTCTGGGCCTCATCATCATCAGAATATCGCTGATGGATGTGTATTTTAAGAAGCCTCTGTTGTTCCTTTGTCAGAGCCACAAGCAGCCCGCCGCCTTCGTGGTCACCCAGCACCCTCTACCCAACACCGTGGCGGACTTCTGGAGGCTGGTGTTCGATTATAACTGCTCCTCTGTGGTGATGCTGAATGAGATGGACACTGCCCAGGTAGGAGGAGGACTGGCTGCTGCCCTAGGTGGGCCTAGGTAGGTCAGGGGAACCATGCTCTAGACCTGGAAGGAGAGCCCCTGAGAGTCAGCGCATGCTGCATCTGCCCCGGCTAGCTGCCTTGTGATGAACACTGTTTGGTCATGAGCCACAGGCGAGCCCATTCCGCTGCCTGCCATTCCCAGACTCCCAGCAAAAACATCCCCTGCCTAGGGCTTTTTCCAACTCCACCCAGGGCCAACCTCTGTTGCTCCATCCTCCAAGAACTGGTTAAGGTCTTGCTCCAAATCACACAGAGCTCACAAGGAGGCTGCCTCCCCCAACACTGAACATTTCTACCCTGAATAATATCCAGATGCCTGACCGCACCCACCTGCCCTGTCCCCTCTGCAATGCAGCCAGTAGGGACAGAGCCTGGAACGTGAATCTTGGCTGCTTTACCCACTGTCCACCCCCTAGCTTCCTCACAGTTGACCCTTGTGTCCTGGCAGGCGTCGTGCCTTTGCCCCTCTGGGTCTGGCAGCTCTAGGCACCAATTGCCAGCAATGTATCCCCATACTCAGGACACAGGATTCATGTCTTGGGACAGTTCCTAGAGCCTACACTCCTGTGACAGGGCAGCCATTCTGGGGAGGAGGAGATGAGAATGACCTTTCCGATTTTTAAAAAGCTATCCTTTCACTCCCTTGAAGAAAACTCAAAGTAATTCAGCATATTCCTGTGTGAGTACTGGCCTTATGCAGGCCATGGGTGGGAATTTTAAAAATTTTAAACAGATCTGAGCTGTAGTCTCAGCCCTCTAAAAGCTCACAGTCTTGCTACAGAGACAAATGAGCAAATTGTCCCCACCTCGTGTGGCAGTGCTATAATAGAGGTCACCAGTGAAGTGCTGTGCTGGCCAGGAGCAGGGAACAATTAATTCTGCCCAGAGGGTGAGGGAAGACTTCAAAAAAAAGGTGACTGTGACCTTGAAGAAGGCAGAGGAGATTTAGGCATATGGGGTCTGAGACAGCTGGAAAAAGGCATTTCAGGCAGAGGCAACAGCAGAGGCAAAGGTGAATCAGGGTGAAAGTATGTAGGCTTGTTTGCAGAACAGTTTCTGCCCCAGCATGCCTGGGATGTGGGGAATGTTAGAGAGCTCCCTGTGTCAGGCTAAGCACCTTGGACAACAGCATGGTAAGCATCAGACTTACTTTGTAAGCAACAGAATCCTTTCTACAAAGAAAAGGTTTCACGCAAGCCCAATATATGAGACAGATATGATCAAGATTGGCTCATTGGTGGAGCAGGAGGTGGGGCTTGGAGCTCTACCCACTTTGTTCTCTTATCTTCTCCTGATGGCCCTGGGAGGGTCAGTCCCCTGGGTACTTTTGTGGGATCCCTGAAGTTCCTTAGAACACTTAGTGACTCTTGCTATAAGGGAGGAGAGACACTGGAGGGCTTGGCAGTGGTGTGGCAGAGCCAGAGTCCCTGTTAGAAAGTTAGGTTTGGGAGCCAGTGAGGGGGAAAAGCTGGAGGGAAGACCTGGAAGTCAGGAAACTGGGGAGAAGAATGTTACCAATGTGCAGAAAGTGAAGGTGGTGATCTAAACTGAGGAAGTGAGTTGCCAGGAGGTGAGAGAATTGGAATTGGATGTGAAGACCCTTCCAGAGTTGAAGTCCATGAGGTTGCATGTGGGAGATAAAAGAGGACAAGTCATGGGTAGTGGCAGCATGTCTAGTCTGGACAGTCAGGCTTCCAGGGAGGCAACTGGCTGAAATGGGAAAGGCAGGAAGGTGGAGGAAGCCAGGGAGAAGGACAGAGAGAGCAGAAGGGGATGAAACTGAGTGCAACTTAGGATGTGCTGGTCAGAGATATTCCAAAGAGAGTCCATTCATTCAGGCAACTCATATTTGTTGAGCATGTGCTATTAGCTGGAAACTGTTCTAGGTGCTTGGAATGTATCAGTGAGCAACACAGACAAAGCAAAGCATAAAAATTCCCATCTCCCATGCAACTTCTGTTTTGAAGGGGAGACAGACAAGAAGCAATCACTACTCTATAATGTACTCAGTTATAAGTTAGAAGGTGACAAATGTTTGGAAAAAGACAAATAAGAGGGAGGGTAGTGGCTGTCAGAAGACTGGGTCCGGGCACAGGATGCCATTGTAGCTGGATAGCCAAGTCGGCCCTATGGAGGAGAAGATATTTAAACAGACCTGAGGGAGGTGAGACAGCAAGCTGTGTGACTCTCTCAGGGAAGAGTGGCCCAGGCAGAGGGAGTACCTGCACCAAGGCCGTGTGGTGATCACGCTCTTGGTGCCCCTGAGGAACAGCACAGAAACCACAGTGGGTGTGGGGAAAGCAGAGTGGGTGTGGGGAGAACAGTAAAAGTTGTGTTCAGAGGCCCATGGAGATCACAGGAAGAACTTAGGGTTTCACTCTAAGAGAAGTGGGGAGCCATTGGCAGGTTTTAGGCAGAGTGATATAATTTGACTCTTTAAAAATAAAAGCATCCCTCTGTCTGCTGAGCTGAGAATAGATGGTTGGTGCCAGAAGGAGAAGGGTAGCTGCCAAGAGTGGAAGCTGAGAGAACAGAGAAGAGGCTGCTGTGATTATCCAGGTAGCAGGTGAGAGTGGCTTGTGGAGGAAGTTGGAGCAATGGAGTGAACCCTAGATGTATCCTGAAGGTAAAGTCAACAAAATATTCTGGCAGATTGAATATGGAATGTGAGAGAAAAAGAAAAATCAAGGATAGTTCCAAGGTTTGAGACCTGAGCAATGGAAGGTTGGAGACTGAGATAACTATGAAAATAGATAAATGCCCACAAAACAGAGAGTTCTGGGGTTTTCCTTGCAGTTTCAGAGTTTGAAGGCATCACTACCCTATTCCTTTGAGTAAAGAAATAAAGCAGAGAACTCAGCTCATGAACCAGGAAGTGCAGTCGGACCACAAAAGTCTGTTTACTTGTGTCTTTTTCAATATCCCTTCCTACAAAACAGGAGCTTGGGCAGAGAGGAGGAGTCTCAAAGAGACTCACTTTGAGACTAGAGAAGCCAGGGTCAAGGACCTTGACCATAGTTCCCCTTTTCAGGGTGGGTCCTGGGCGAATGAAGGATTTTTCAGGTCCAGATGTTGGTACAGCCTTTGAGAATTGATTCTCCAAACACAGAAACATCAGGCTCAGAAGTGCCCTGAGGTTGGCTGCCATATGCAGCTGGCAAGCGTCCCCTGAAATCGGCAGATGAATAGAGCACTTATTGATATAAATATCATCACCACAGCAGCTGGGCGCCTTGTGAAAATAAACAATGACACAGCGTGAGCATCAGAAAAGCTGCCCTCGGCACCTGGAGGGGCGGTTCTTTGGAGTGGCATCAGCATTTGTCTGCCCACACACTAGTGCCAAGGCAGCCCCCCGGCTTGGCCCAGTCAAGCAACAGAGACAGGTATGCCTAAAGTCCTGGGCATCGCTAGGTTGCTCCTGACAGGACCAATGCCACATTCTGTAGTTTGCCTGAGGACCATAAGGGCTCATACTGGGGAGCCGGGCACAGCTACCTGTAAGTTGCAGTGAAATATGGAGGAGAGGGTTTTTATTTGTATTTGTATTTTTTGCACTGCTGGCCAAATCTACCTCTGCTTAGAATCCTACACTATTTCGTTCATTCAGTTAGCCATTCCAACCACAAATACTCTTCCATTCTCTTCCTTGGCTGCTGTTCAGAGATGATTATATAATCAAGAGGGGCACAGGAAGATTTTCAAACTTCTTCTTTCAACCTTAGATATTTCTCTAGCTCTTTAGGACTCCAGAGACCTGTGGTCAGATTTGCAGGACCAAATCTTAGAATCACGACATCCAGCAAAGGATGCTGTGGTTTCTCACACTCAGCAGAAATAAAATTTTCAACCACATTGGACAGCATTGACAAGACCTCTTCCATACCTGTGGGCTTTATGGATAGACCAGAGTCTATACCGTGCAGACACCAGAAAGAAGCTGTCCTTGCAGTCATGCCATACCCATCTTATTGTTTAAAAAGCTTAGGAGATTTTCCACACCTGCCACAGGGTGGGGCTGTGTGGTAGGCAGAATCACATTCCTCTAAAGATATCCGCATCCTAAGCTGTGAAACAATGAATGTATTATGGAATCTAAGCTCATGGAGTAGGCAGTGATGTTTCCTTACTTTCAAACAAACAAGAGCCCACAGCTTATGTAAAAGCTGAGTTGCCCAGTTCCAAGGCTCTCACTGTGGAAAGCCTGAGGGATCAGGGGATACAGAGCTAGGTGGAAAGAGGAGGGTGGGTGGGTCCGAGGACAAGGGGTCGGCTGTGATGTATCCTTGTGGAAGTGAGAAAGGCGAGCTTCTCCAACGAGAAAAGCAGCGTGCTATTTCAGGGATGTCTGTTCCTGTCATTGTGTCTGCAGGGCAAACAGCAAGCATTGATATCCCCATTTTTATCTTGGCTTGTGAAAACACAGCCTAACATGCTATCAAAATACACAAAATGCCCAACTCTGCATCAGAGCCAGCCTCAGTCTGACTTTGCAAGTCTCTGTTTCTATCCCCACCAGAATAGTGGGGATAATGATAGAACAAGAAATATGGGGTCCAAAGATCCGAGTTCAAATTGCAACCTTGCCACTTACTTGCTGTGTTGCCCTGAGCCAGTTTCTTAACGTCTCCAAGTCTCAATGTTATCCTCTGTGAGATTACTATTACCTGGATGTCAGCCAAGTTCACCCTATCTTTGAAGATTTAAATAAAACTGACTCTGTTCCCTACTCACCATCCTGTGGGAAAACCCAGTGTCCACCTCCAAGATTTCTTTTTTTCTAATTTATTTTTAAAATGTGGTATACATCTCAGGATTAGTATACAAGTGGTCATCATATAGGTAAAGTTTGGGTCTCCCTTTGGTTTCCACTTCACCTGGTTTGAGATCAGGTACCCTTATATAATGTTGTGTGCCCCTCCCTCCCCTGGTAGTGATCCGCTACTACCATTCCTTT